AAAGTTTCACTTTTTCTTTTACTTTTCAATAACGTTAACAATAACTTTTTTTCATTATTTTTTTTAAAATAACAATTTTTTATAAACAAATTAAGTTTTTTAAAATTTGGATATGATTTAAAATTTTTTTTAAAAAAAACATACCAGGAAATACTAAGAAGATTTTGCAAAAAAATTTAGAGTGGGCCGATAATTTTATAGGTTTAAATAAACATTTAAACACCGTGCGCAGCATATTGCGCATGTTAGAAAATTAAAAAAAAATTTAAATTACACAGGCACACAAAAAATAAAAAGCTGTTTGGCAGAGACACTACACTAGTCTATTTCCATGTATTTTTTCACGCTGAATCCGAATCCGATGTCAGAATTATCAGATTGGCTTTTATTTTTGAGATAAACTCAAAAAACTCCTCAGAAAGAAAAATAAAATCAAAAAGTTAAAAAATTTTTGAATGTCACTGCCATAGTGTAATTCCATGTATTTTTTGTCGCTGAATCCGAATTTGAAGTCAGAATTGACAGATTGGATCAAATTTTGAAGATAATTCCAAAAAACTGATTTTGAGTATTTTGAGTTTTTTGTTTCTTGCGTTTTTTTGCAATTATCTCAAAAATTTGAGCGAATCTAACAATTCTGACTTTGGATTCGGATTCAGCGACAAAAAATACATGGAATTACACTATGGCAGTAACATTCAAAATTTTTTTAACTTTTTGATTTTATTTTTCTTTCTGAGCAGTTTTTTGAGTTTATCTCAAAAATAAAAGCCAATCTGCTAATTCTGACATCGGATTCGGATTCAGCGTGAAAAAATACATGGAAATAGACTAGTGTAGTGTCTCTGCCAAACCACATTTTACTTTTTGTGTGCCTGTGTTATTAAAAACTTTTTTTTTTCATTTTCCATAGTGAAATATAATTTTCGGTTTTAAAAAAAATGAAATAAAAAATTTTTTAACAATTTTACAATTTTTGTAACTTTGCACATTTCTGATAATTACAAAAAATTATTAAAAATTATTTTTTTCATATTTTTTTTAACCTAAAATCATATTTCACTATGAAAAATAAAAAAAAATAATTTTTAACAATTTTTTTAATTTTCATAAATGCGCAAAATGCTGTGCGCGGTGTTTAAATGTTTATTTAAACCTATGAAACTTATCGGCCCACTCTAAATTTTTTTGCAAAATCTTCTTAGTATTTCCAGGTATGTTTTTAAAAAAAAATTTTTAAAAATCATATCCAAATCTAAAAAAACTTAATTTGTTTATAAAAAATTGTGATTTTTTTAATATAAAATGAGAAAAAAGTTTTTATTAACGTTATTGAAAAGTAAAAGAAAAACTGAAACTTTTCTTCTATTAGCAAAAATTGAAAAAATGCATTTCTTTTCGAGGTATCAGCCATTGAAAATAGGTTTTTATTGAAAAACTGAAATTTTAAAAATTCATAAGTCGAAAATTATTCAGAAAAAAAAATTATAAAAAATACGTCTCTTTTTTTACTACAGAACAAGAAAAAAATATATTTGACCAAATTTAAAGTGTCGATGGAAATCTCACGTGAAATCGACTATATATAAATAAATAAATCAAATAACTCATTATTCTCATTACACTTAAATATTTAATTGATCAATTAAACTGCACTAAATCACTAAATTAATTCTTCTGTCTTTTCTTAACTTTTCACCGTCAATAGAAATATATAAAAAAAATAAAGTAGAAAATTTCACTTTAACACGCGATCAAGCTACTATATGAGCTTTCTGCAGGTTGAAACGAATAGGTAATCCACAGCATGACACTCGTGAACGAAACTAATGACTTCGTATGCTTATAATATATATATTATATATACATATATGAGGCAAAATTCCTGAAATGTCCGAACAAAAAATTAAAAGTTCTCGAATTTAATCCATACTTTTCTAAAATGTTGTTATTGTTGGTGAAAGTCTAAAAATCAATTATTATTGAATTTAATAAAATAGTTTTTGAATTACAACGTTTTTAATTTTTGACTTTTGAAAAAAAAATTTTTTTTCAATGTACAATATTTATAAGTAGAATGCATAAAAGTTAACATATATATAATGATATTTGAAGCTTTTTTGAAGAGCTACACGCTGTTAATAAAATTTTTTTTTTTTAATAACATTTGACCTTGAAATTCAAGGTCAAAATGTTAATTTACGTTTATCTCAAAATCGGATTTTTTAAAATTATTTTTAACTATCTCAATGAAAAGCTTGACTAATTTCCTACAAAACATGTAATTTTCAGAGTGGGATCTTTTAAAGTTTTTGAGATATTAATTAATTAATTAATTAATGTTTATAACAAATGAAATATTTTACAAACGAATAAAGTTACCGTAATTCTGAAGTTAGTAATTGAAAGTTAACGTAATTCCGCATCCAACGAGCCCTATATGAAGTATTTTGGATAAGTAGATTGTTAATAAACAATTAGTTAACATTGCAATTGTTTATTAACAATCTACTTATCCAAAATACTTCATATAGGACTCGTTGGATGCGGAATTACCTTAACTTTCAATTGGTAAGTTCAGCATTACCATAACTTTATTTGTTTGTAAAATATTTTATTTTTTACTAACAACAAGCATCCAAAAGCCCTGTATGAAGTATTTTTGTTCAATTTTAGTTAAATAACAATAAAAAATGAAATATCTTACAAACAAATAAAGTTATTGTAAATCTAAACTAACCAATTGAAAGTTAAGCTAATTCCGCATACAACGAGCCCTATATGAAGTATTTTGGATAAGTAGATTGTTAATAAACAATTGCAATGTTAACTAATTGTTTATTAACAATCTACTTATTCAAAATACTTCATATAGGGCTCGTTGGATGCGGAATTAGCTTAACTTTTAATTGGTTAGTTTAGATTTACGATGACTTTATTTGTTTGTAAAATATTGCATTTGTTATAAATATTAATTAATTAATTAATTAATATCTCAAAAACATTAAAAGATCCCACTCTGAAAATTACATGTTTTGTAGGAAATTAGTCAAGCTTTCCATTGAGATAGTTAAAAATAATTTTAAAAAATCCGATTTTGAAATTAACGTAAATTAACATTTTGACCTTGAATTTCAAGGTCAAATGTTATTAAAAAAAAAAAAATTTTATTAACAGCGTGTAGCTCGCCAAAAAAGCTTCAAAAATCATTATATATATGTTAACTTTTATGCATTCTACTTATAAATATTGTACATTGAAAAAAAATTTTTTTTTCAAAAGTCAAAAATTAAAAACGTTGTAATACAAAAACTATTTTATTAAATTCAATAATAATTGATTTTTAGACTTTCACCAACAATAACAACATTTTAGAAAAGTATGGATTAAATTCGAGAACTTTTAATTTTTAGTTCGGACATTTCAGGAATTTTGCCTCATATATGTATATATCTTTCTATATTATAAAAAGATTTCGCCGCAGCCGCCGCCGCTGTTTCAGAAATTTTGATCTAGGAGGGGGGGAGTCCCCCCTCCTAAATTTGGAGGTTATGTTCGTTTCTAGACTCTGAATATAGCCGCAAGTCTCCTCCTCGCCCCCGCCAGAAATGACCTAAATTTTGAGGTTATGTTCGTTTCAAGGCTCTAAATATAGCCGCAAGTCCCCCCTCCCTCCTCCACCAAAATGGCCTAAATTTTGAGGTTATGTTCGCTTCAAGTCTCTGAATATAGCCGCAAGTCCCCTCCCCCGCCTGAAATGACATAAATTTTGAGGTTATGAAAATTTCAAGACTTTCCATATAGCCGCAAGTGGAGGTGGAGTTCTCGCCAAAAATGACTTGAATTTAAAGATAATGTTCGTTTCAAGACTTCTTAATAATTTATTGGTTATTAGGCAATTTCATTGAAATTATTTTTAAAAATAATTTCTTAATGTCGATTTTAATTTATTTAATTATTTATTTATTAATAATTTAATTAATTTATTAATTAAAATTTAATAATTTTAATTTTAATAATATTTATTCAGATTTCAATGAATTTGTAATAATAATTCTTTGAAATAGGTGGTTCATTTGGAAAAATAAGATCAATGGAAAATTGAAAAAAAATGATTAAAACAATTTTCAGATTTTAATACAACTCTGGAAACAGTAAGAGCTGTTTTCGCTATTGCTTGCTATGCGAAAATAAAACTTACACTTTTTTGTAATAAGTTCTTTCGAAATTAAAGATTCAATTTTTATCTGTATTAAAATTGAAATGGTAAATACGAAAAAAAAATTTTATCAGTAATAATTTTGAAAAACATAGTTTAATTAGAAAATTAATAAAAATAAGTTTTTTTATTACAAAATGAATTATTTTTTGAAAAAATTAAAATAAAAAATTATGAATTACAATTTTATTATAAATTAAAAAAAAATTTCATCCAAAAATATTTTAAAATAAATGTATGTTTCAAAAACAATTAATTATAAACAATTTTTTAAGTTATTAAAAATTAAATCGTTTATCTCAAAGGATAAGTATTATTTTAAACAAAATTATCCATAACACTTATAATACAATAAACAATATTATCACCGGTAGTACAATGTAACAATTGTTACGAAAAAATTTGTGTCGGAATAATTCTGACCAAATACATCGTACGGCACTGAATATTTTTGTTTGACGCATCTTTTCAAAACAGATCGATATATTTCCAAAAATATTCAAGTGTTTCTATAAGAGAAACATTAGATTTCTGCAAAAGCTACATCGGAAAAAATCATGCGACCGGATTGGCTGCAGATTTGACTACCTTACGGCGATTGGATGATGCCCCACTTCAGTGCGTGCCAACTCTAGTGTCAACTTTATTGCCAATGTCAACTCTCATTACGCTGTGAACGTTCAAGCTTTACGAATAAATGGTAGGTAAATTAATTTCTTAAAATTGTGAATACTGTTAAAAATTAAGCTGTTCATATATATAAAACTATATATTAATTATAGAAAAAGTCATGAAATGAGAAAAATAACAAGGAAATAAACAAAGGTGATGAAACCGCCGACGAAGAGGAAAGCTGCTAGAAGGACCAATACCGCGGTAAGTTAACAGAATACGTTAAATTTTTTCAAATTGTTAAGTATCAATAAAATTTTTTTTAACTTTATTACTATATGATAATTATTTTCAATTGACAATTAAATGTATTATAAGAAATATAAAGAAGATATAATTTTTAGTAAAAATGAATATTTAATTCGAAAAATAATTGTTTATTTGCTCTACAATAAACTATGTTGCTAAAATTATAATTTTTTTCTAGCTTCATAATTAATCTAAATCTCAAAAAATTGTACTAAAATTTATTTATTGTTGGAAACAAACAAAATTATAGTACTACTCTTAGAGATTTAGATGAATTTTAAAACTAGGAAAAACTAATAATTTCAGCAACATATTTTAATATAGAGTAGATGAAAAATTATTTTCATTTAAATATTCATTATCTTTAAAAATTATATCTTCTTTATATTTATACATAATAGATTTAATTACTCAGTCTTTAATTATAAAATAATAATAAGTACAATTTCACCTTTTTAATTCATCAATTTTTTTTTAAATTTTTAGTACTACAAATGTTTTTTATTCAAGAACACAATTTTCTGTCAGTCAAAAAATAATTTTTTTTGCTGTTTTCAAGTTGACAAATATAATAGGGTCAGTCGGGGTAAATCCGAACGGGGGGTAAATCCGAAAGCTAATTATTTCAGCTTAATTAAAATTTTTAAAAATAAGTTCGATATGAGAATTTTTACCTCAGATCCTCTTGAAGAGATTCTAAGTATTATCCCATTTTTTGTTTGTTAATTAGCAACAGCATAAACAAAGATAACAAGTATTGCAAAAAAGATTGAAAATCAAAGATGACACTCTTTCAGTATTTTGTCTCGTATTTGAAGAAAAAGAAGCTAAAAATTCATTTTATTATTTATAATTGTTTGTTATGAATACTAGAACAGAAACTATATTTGATTTCTGCCTTCTGTAAAATTTTATTAATAATATCAGACCGTTCGTATTTACCCAAGAAAATTGGAAAACTGGGATAAATCCGAACGGTATTTTTAATAATTTTTTTTTACATCAAAGCCACACAAAATTGTTTTTATTTGATTACACTATTATTTTAACATTATAAAAGTACATAGAAAAAAGTTTTTCTTTCTATACGTATCCTCGTTAGTAATTAATAAGCAGAAACTTAATCTCTGTTCTCTCGAAGGAGTGTTTCAATTTTTTAGCCAAATGGTTTGTTGAAAAAAGTTTTTCAGGATCTTAATAAAATTTGGTATTCTACGGTTTTTGGGGTAGCTAATTACCAATTTGAAGTCAGTTTTTCAAAATTCAAAATGGCGGACGAGAATTAAAAAATTCATTGGATTCGCTCGAAAATTGTTACTCGGGGGGTTTCAGGGTTAGCAAATTTGATCATTTTTAAAAATAAGTTTTAGGAAAGTACGCCATTTTGAATTTAAAAAATTTGACTTTTATTTTTGTATTTACATTCAATCACTCCAAAATACTTTCTGTACCAAGTTTTGCAAAAATCCGTTATGATTTGATAAAGTTATTGAAGGTTTTAATTGTGTAATGCATTTTAATTTTTAACCTGTTTGATTTTTGTATTTATATATGATGCATTATTACATAATAGGTTTATTATCGTATTTTTTTTGAGTTTTTATATAAGTTTAACAATTGCAATACTTTAAATTTATTTTCCCTAAGATTTTTCTGAAATACAGTGGCGTTCGTATTTACCCCCATATTTTAGGAAAGTTGCAAAGTATTGAGGTAAATACGAACGCTAAGTTTCCTGCGATTGTAATTTATCAAAAATTTTTTCTACCCCATAAAATTGTTCTATGGAAGTAAAGTAACAACTTCATGCACCAGAATACCGGAAGTATTTTTTTTTTAAAGAAAAAACTTATGTTATTGTTGAAACTTACTAAAAGCGTTCGGATTTACCCCGGTTGACCCTAACAAAAAGAATATTTTTGTTTTTGAATTCTGTGTTCAAAATAAAATTTGTTTTTCAAATATTTGAAAATAAATTATTTTTTCAATTTATTTGAAGAAAAAATTTTCTTCTTGGTTTTTGAATTTGTCAACTGGATAACAAAAAAAAATATTATTTCTTGACTGATAGAAAATTATATTTTTGATAACAAAAAATAATTTAGTACTAATATTTTTAAAAATATAGTTTCATTATAATAGTAAAATAATAATTATTTTAAATTGATAATTGAAGACTTTTGACAATTAAATTTATTATAAGTAATGTAAAAAAGATATAATTTTTAGTGTTAACGAATATTAAATTAGAAAAATAATTGTTTATTTGCTCCACAATAAACTATGTTGCTAAAATTATTATTTTTTTCAAGTTTTATAATTAATCTAAACCTCAAAAAATTATACTAAAATTTATTTGATTTATTGTTGGAAACAAAAAATTTTATGTACTAATTTAGAGATTCAGATGAATTTCAAAACTAGAAAAAATTAATAATTTTAGCAAAATATTTTAATACAGCGCAGATAAAAAATTTGTTTTCCCTAAATATTCATTATCTTTAAAAATTTTATCTTCTTCATGTTTATACATGATAGATTTAATTACTCAGTCTTTAATTATAAAATAATAATAATTACTATTTCACCTTTTTAATTCATCAATTTTTTTTGAAATTATTAGTACTACAAATGTTTTTTATTCAACAACATAATTTTCTGTCAGTCAAAAAATAATTTTTTTTGCTGTTTTCAAGTTGACAAATATAACACCGTCCGACACGATTTTTCACACACGAAAAAATCAATGATTTTCAGAAACTAGGACCAAAAAAAAGATACCCTTGTCTGGCCGTTTTGCTAGATCAGGTCATTTTTTGCTTTTAGGGGTAAAAACAACCCTTAAATGAAAGGTGATAGGAAATCTTGTACAAATTAATAATTTTTTATGAAACCTGGTATCTCGGGGTTTTCCGGGTTGCTGATTACGAATCTGATGTTATATTTTCAAAATTCAAAATGGCGGATCCAATATGGCGGTCGAAATTTATAAAAATTCAACAATTTATTTGAAAGTTGTTACTTAGGGGTTTTTGGGGTCGCTGATAACGAATATGATGTCAGATTTTGAAAATTCAAAATGGCGGATCCAATATGGCGGTCGAAATTTATAAATATTAATTATTTTTTGTAAAACTTGGTATCTAGGCGTTTTTGGGGTCGCTGAGTACGAATCTGAAGTCAGATTTTTAAAATTCAAAATGGCAAATTCAATATGGCGGTCGAAATTTATGAAAGTTCATCGAATTCACTTGAAACTTGTTACTTGAAGGTTTTTGGGGTCGCTGATAACGAATTCGATGTCGGGTTTTCAAAATTCAAAATGGCGGATCGAATATGGTAGTCGAAATTTTTAAATGTTATTAGTTTTTTATAAAACTTTGTATCTCTGGCTTTTTGGGGTCGCTGAGTACGAATCTGATTGTAGATTTTTAAAATTCAATATGGCACACTCAATATGACGGTTGAAATTTATAAAAATTGTTAATTTTTTATAAAACTTGGTATCTAATTGCTTGCGGCGTCTCTGAGGACGAAAATGATGTCAGATAAGAATAATAAAAACGCCAAATTTAATAAAGGTAACGATCACAAATCTGAAAAGTAATTTGGAAAATTTAAATGTTCGATCAATTTTTTGTTAAAATTTGCAAGCCAACAATTTAAAATTTTTATTTTAAGTGATTTTTAATAAATTAAGTTTCTATTAGAATTAATAAATTCAAAAGGTTATAATCAAAATTTATTAAACAAATATAATGCAATAAAATAAAATTAATAGAAGCATTTCATAACAACTCTTGTATCTGACATCATATTCGTCATCAGCGACCCCAAAAACCTTCAAGTAAAAAGTTTCAAGTGAATTCGATGAACTTTTATAAATTTCGACCGCCATATTGAATCCGTTATTTTGAATTTTGAAAATCTGACATCATATTCGTAATCAGCAACCCCAAAAACCCCTTAGAAACAACTTTCAAATGAATTGGTGAATTTTTATAAATTTCGACCGCCATATTGGATCCGCCATTTTGAATTTTGAAAATCTGACATCAGATTCGTAATCAGCGACCCGGAAAACCCCGAGATACCAGGTTTCATAAAAAATTATTAATTTGTACAAGATTTCCTATCACCTTTCATTTAAGGGTTGTTTTTACCCCTAAAAGCCAAAAATGACCTGATCTAGCAAAACGGCCAGACACGGGTATCTTTTTTTTGGTCCTAGTTTCTGAAAATCATTGATTTTTTCGTGTGTGAAAAAAAAGTTGAATTTTGTCGGACGGTGTAATAACAAAAAGAATATTTTTGTTTTTGAATTATGTGTTCAAAATAAAATTTGTTTTTCAAATATTTGAAAATAAATTATTTTTTCAATTTATTTCAAGAAAAAATTTTCTTCTTGGTTTTTGAATTTGTCAACTGGATAACAAAAAAAAATATTATTTCTTGACTTATAGAAAATTATATTGTCGATAACAAAAAACAATTTAGTACTAATATTTTTAAAAATATAGTTTCATTATAATAGTAAAACAATAATTATTTTCATTTCATAATTGAAAATTGAGTAATTTAATCTATTGTATGTAAATATAAGGAGGATATTTTTAGTGTAATGAATATTAAATTAGAAAAATAATTGTTTATTTGCTCCACAATAAACTATGTTGCTAAAATTATAATTTTTTCTAGTATCATAATTAATCTTAATCTTAAAAAATTGTACTAAAATTTATTTATTATTGGAAACAAAAAAATCTTTAGTACTAATTTTAGAACTTTAGATGAATTTAAAAACTAGAATAAACTAATAACTTTAACAACATATTTTAGTAAAGAGCAGAAATAAAAATAATTTTTATTTAAATATTCATTATATTTAAGAAATATTTCTTCTTTTTATTTACATATAATAGATTTAGTTACTCAATTTTCAATTATAAAATGAAAATAATTACCTATCATTTCACCTTTATAATTCAACAATTTTTTTAAAATTATTAGTACTAGAAAGTTTTTTTATTCAACAACATAATTTTCTATGCCAAAAAACAAAAATTTTTTGTTTTTCAAGTTGACTAATAATTCATCTATATCTCAAAAAAAGGTACTTAATTTTTTTTGTTCCCAATAATATATATTATTGTTAAGAATCATTTTATATTCAATATTTATTCTATTTAGAAATTATTTTTTCTTTATATATATATGTAGAGGATGTTGTTTGTAAATATATTTGTTTAAATTATAACAAAGTATATGTCATTTTGGAGATCGGGAAAACACTTGGACTGTATTTAAAATAATCGGAAACGTTTGTAACTATGTTAACATTATTTTTATTAAACTTATTGAAACGAATTCCGGAATCGTAATTTTAATAATTTTTCGTCTAACTTGACGACGATTCAAGTCTAACTGAACCATAATATATATATAAGGTCATTCATTCACTATACAAGAGACAGAGGTCTCTTCTTCCAAACTATTTTCTTTTGAATACATTAAAGTAATCAAGGTTAAAATGAATACAATGACAAACAAAATCAAAGTTAATAATACAAAATAAAATTATAAAATAAAACAAAAGATATAATAATAATTTCTAAACAATATTGAATATTTAAAAAAAATAATTTTACTGCTTCCATATTAAACTATGTTAATGAAATTATTTGCTGTAACAATATGTTAGGTTAGAAATTTGCTTGGAAAATATTTTATTTGAAAAAGTTTCCTTTATATTATACTTTTTAAAGAATGGCTTATATAATTGAAAGTTTTTAGCAGGCTCTTAGAACAATGGCTGATTAACAGTTGCAACCACCGCTGGCGCAACCTCATTTGCAACAACCGCAGGTGCAACCTCAATTGCAACAACCGCAGGTGCAACCTCAATTGCAACAACAACAGATGCAACATCAATTACAACCACTGCAGGTGCAACATCAATTACAACCACTGCAGGTGGAACCTCAATTGCAACAACCGCAGGTGCAACCTCAATTGCAACCACAGAAGTTGCAAAATCAATTGCAACCACAGCAGTTTCAAAATCAATTGCAACCACTGCAGTTGCAAAATCAATTGCAACCACTGCAGTTGCAAAATCAATTGCAACCGCAGCCATCGCAAAATCAATTGCAACCACAGCCGTTGCAAACTCAATTGCAACAATGTGTACCTCAAGAACTACCTCTGCATGAAACTGCGTTTAATGCAAGTAGTATGCAACAACAACTGCAACAGTTGCAATTGCAAATGCAGCAGATGGAACAGTTCCAACAAAACAAGGCTCCAGTACAAAATATGTTGCAAAAATCGCCTACGGCGACAAACGTTCGTCATTTACAAAATGTAAGTTACCCTTTTATAATATAGAGCTATATAATTTTTAGCTTACTTTTAAAGCAAGAACAAAGCATTTTGATGTACTGAATTAGACTTTTATCATGATGCAGCACATCAGTTTTTCAAAATTTTCCAACCTAAAAGTGCTAAAAAGATGTTTATTTGATCAGGTTTATGATCGTGTAACATTTAGATACAATTCTTTCAAAAAGGTGGTTTAACATCTGAATGTACTTTTAGAGTGTATTTTAAAATTTCAAAAAAATCTTTATTTGCTCATGGGTTATCGCTTTAAAAATGTTTTTAAGCATTATCAAATACACGAATATTGAAATATTCGTTACCACTAAAAAAATTTAAATGACCATAATTCAGAGTCAAGTAAAATTTTTTTTGATTTTTTGAAAATGCATTTTAATGGGTAAGAATAATATTTTCAGATGGTGAATCTACCTTTTAAAAAAAATTAAATCTTAATTTCACACGACATCAATTATGGTCAAAAAAAGTCTTTTATACTTTCAGGTTAGAATATCTTGAAAACCTGACGTGCTGGATGAATTCTGAAGTCAGATTTGGATTCAGCAAGTTAAAATGCTTTGAAAAAGTATAGTTAGGTTTTTGGTTCTAAAGTAAGTCAATATTTTGGCGGTCTGTGTAATTTTTATATAAAAAATTGTTAAAATTTGGCTTTGTTCTGTAATTTCTAATAAAGTTTTCAAGTAAAATTAAATATTCAAGCAGAAATTTAAAATAATCTTCATCAATTAAAATTTTCGAAACCCAAAATTTTTTCTTGATAATTTTCTTGAAGAATTATTCTTGTTAAAAAAATAGTAAAATTAATTTAATAAGTAATTACAATAGTCAAAATAAGTAATAAATAATATTTTTTTGAGGGAAATAAAAAAAATGAAATTGGACATTCGGGACATAGAAGGTGACAGAGATAGAGAAAAAAAGAGGGAACGAGAAAGGGAACGAAAGAGAGAACGAGAAAGAGATCGTCAAAATGAGAGAAAGAGGAGAGACAGAAATAATTATAATTAAATATTATAATTTTATTTTTGATATCTTTTGTTTATAAAGTAATTATAATTAAATTATAATTGTATTTTTCATATCTTTTGATTATAATGTAAAATAAATACTTATTTTTTCGACTGGATTTTTTCATTATAATTATTTTTCCTTTTAGACAATTAAAAAAAATTTATTATATTTCGTTTTTTTTACTATTTATTACAATTTACAATTTTTAAGCTAGACGCAAGGATTTATAATATATATTTTTGAAAATTAAAAAAACAGATGAATGATAATGGAAAAAGGTTATATTTGAAGGGTAGAATGACAAAAAGGGGTCAAGCACCAATTTTTATAAAGCAAGGTTTTTTATAAACTATTTATATAATTATCATAATTATTAACAATTAAATTTAGAAATCAGCTGTTGCTCTATTGCAAAGCTAGAACTTAATTAATAGTTTTTTCGAAAATCAACAACTTTTCGCAATGTTTATTTCATTCAACTTGTCAATTCAATAAAAAAACTAATTTTCAAGTTTTTCTTTTGTATATTTTTTCACAATTAATGGTAGAAAATGTGCGCAGTCGATGTAATCTTAAAGCACCACATTTTTTTTATTTTTCTGGTTATAATATGTAAGTTTATTTGAGCAAATTGTAGTTTATTTATAATATCTCAAAATGGTTTTCTTAGTTTCTTTTTAAAACACCTACAGAATTTTTAAATATGTTTTGTGTACTTCCTGTAAAAACAGTGAATTGGCGCTTGTCCCCTTTTGTCATTCTACCTTTCATTTGAAAAATAACTGTTTGAAATTCTCTGAGCCGTACTAAAAAATTTAAAAATGGTCATTTAAAAACTAAAAACTCTGTTATAGGTACGTTATTTTTGAGCACATCTTTGAAAAATTTGAAAAAATAAACAATTTTCATATACAGCATAATTTTTTATTCATTAGTACAATACATAAAAAATGATTCAAATATACACTGCCTTGTGTAACGCTAAATTTAAAAAAATCATAATTTCCTTAATTTTTATCAAATAAAAAAATACATATTGTCTTATTTTTCATATAGATTTCAAAGAAAAATGTTTCGGGAAAAAAATTTTGAATGAAAATTTCGTATGGAATGCTCCTAATAAATGTAAATAAAATATACTTATTGGAAAAATTAAAATTTATTAAAAAATAATAATAAAAATAATAATAAATAATAAATTTATTAACACTAAAATAACTGTTTTTTTACAAATAATTGTTTATAAAAATCCATTTTTTATTTTTATTGTGTTATATTATTTATCCTACTAAAGGTTTTCTTTCACTACAATTTATTTCCTTCAAAATATTTTAAATATGACGACTAACTGGTTATGAACATGTCCGCTAGAAGCGCTGCTCTTATATTCCTAAATATTGAAATTACATAAAACTTATAAAAAAAAATTTTCAATTAAATTATGAATACTAACCAGAAAATGGTAAATTAAGGTTCTATGATTTATCCCCTAAAATAGATTTTCTAAATTTTTTTAAGTTTAGAAGAAATTTTACGAAAACCAAAAAACTCATATATCGATAACTTACCATCACTATTTCATAACTGGGTCCTCAATTATAAATATTTATAGAAATTTTTTTTAAATATAATATACAATAAAAACCAGAAAAAAATATTTTTTCATGCCCTTTATCATATCCTAAAATATTGTTTAAAAATTCCTTACCAATTACAAAACATCTCACTTTTAAAATTTTTGCCAAAAATATTTTTAAAAAATTTCTTTTTTTTTGAATATTTAAAAAATACCAGAAAAAGGAAGTTAAACAATCACTTATTCATCTCCTAAAATATTATTAAAAAATTTATTACTATTTAGAAGAAATCTTACGAAATACAATTATCGATTTTTGTAATGATTCTTAATAACATGACCTTAATGCTTCACACAAATTAATATTAATAATTTTATAAAAAATTTTAGAAAGTTCTTTAAAAGTTAATTTAAGTAACGTATTTAATGTATCATTATTTTATTATCATTATTTTAACTACTTTTAAATATAGGTTAAAAATTTTAAGAAAATTTTGTAATCTCTCCAAAGTTAAGGAGAGTTTAAAAATCCTATTCAAAGTATAATGGAATCAAAAGCCGGTCAGCAAAAGGGCTTTATGATGCCTCCTTGGAAACGGAGAAGATTAAAATATATTGAGACAAGTTAACACACATGTTCAGTTAAGGTACCGAATATTTAGAGTAACATCGGTACTAAATTGTATTGCATTAACGCTTTTTGGTGAAAAGATACTGTACTAAATTATTCGTCCCACAAGATAGAGGAGTTCATGAATAACTACGGAAATCTAAAAAATGGCAAAGTTCGTTTATCTTAAGCAGGTTAGCCACACTAAAAATAAGTAGCATTGTTTAAACAAAATTATGTATTTGTTAGTATTTGAAGGAATAATATCCACAATTTAATAAAATTTATTTCAAAGTAAAAGAATTTCTGGAATCTAAAAAATACAATACAATTAATATTTAAAACTTGCTCCTAAAAAAGAAGAGATTAAAAAACGCAATTAAGTTTCAAAAACATAAATTCGGTCGAAAAAATGGCTTAAGCCATCCTTAATTTAAATAATATTACTCATTTGTAATGGAAAAGGATAAAAGTAAAATTCTACTTTTCTGAAATGGAATAATTTTCTTAATTATAAGTTAACTATGTTAAGAAGTTTTCACAATCACTACTAAATGAAGAAGAGATTTAAAATGTGCATCATTGTTTAATGTAAACTAAATATGATCAGAAAAGAGATTGAAACTTCATTAACTTCAATAATTCCTCCTGTGTGATGGAGAAGTTTAAAAGTCAAAGTCAATTCTGTAAAATAGCAGTTTTTTATTTAAATCAAGGTTAGCATTATTAATAAAATTAAGCAATGTCTCCTTAAAAAGGAGAGTTTTATAATTTTTTCAAAGTTTGAAGCAATCTATATTCGGTCATAAATGAGTTTCAGTCATAATTAACTTTAATAATTCCTCCTCAGAAATGGAGAATTACAAAAATCAAAGTCATTACTATAATATACCATAGATTTATTTGAATTATTTTTGTTCTCATTATGAAAATTTACCAATCCCTCCTAAATAAAAGGGAAATTTAATTATCTCCTTCAAAGTTAAAAGTAATCAAAGTTCGGTCAGAAAAGGGATTCTTTAATAATAAAACTTAAAAATTACTCCTCGTTGATATAGTAGTTTAAAATTAAAAGTCAATTCTCTAAAATAGTACAGTTTTTAATTTATTCAAGGTTAGCCAAATTGATAAAATTTAGCAATCCCTCCTTAAAAAAGAGAATTTTGTAATTTTCTTCAAAGTTTGATACAATCCAAGTTCGGTCAAAAATAAGTTTCAGTCATAATTAACTTGAATAATTTCTCCCCAAAAAATAGAGAAGTTCAAAAATCAAAGTCATTACTATAATATAGAACAGTTTTATTTGAATTATTTTTGGCTTCATTACACAGACACACAAAAAAAAAGTTGTCTGTTTCTTGAACTAGACATATATTTCCTATAGTATTTTGACCCGCTGAAACCGAATCTGAGGTCAGAATTGCTCCATCACCCTCAGTTTTTTTTAAATCGACCAAAACCACCCTTAAATGGACAAATTCACACTTCGGAGATAAAAAATCCACTAACTCAAAAACAAAGCCAGCATTGATCCAGCACCCCCTGAATTTTTTTAATTGAAAAAACTACCCCTAATCTGCAGAATCAAATTCAGAAGATAAAACAATAAAATAACTGATTGACAAATTTTCTAACTAGATATTTTTACTCCAGCAATGCAGAAACAAAGCCAGAAATGCTCCCTTACCCACTAAATTTTTTTTTTAATCGAAAAACCACCCTTAAATAGAAAAATTCAAGTTTAATAAGTAAAAAATATTAAATTACCGGTTTTTTTGGAAAACAGAATCTTACATGTATGTAGTTTTGCTCTTCTAACTCAAAAAAATAAAGCCAGCATTGATCCATCACCCTGTGATTTTTTTTAATAAAAAAAACTACCCTTAACCTGAAGAATCAAACTTAGGAGGTAACACAATATAATTATATTAAATTACCTTCTAAGTTTGATTCTTTGGTGGTTTTTTCGATTTAAAAAAATTTTAGAGGGTGCGGGAGCATTTCTGGCTTTGTTTCCGCATTGCTAGAGTAAAAATACCTGGTTATAAACTTTTTTAATCAGTTATTTTATTGTTTTACCTCCTAAATTTGATTCTTCAGATTAAGGGTAGTTTTTTTGATTAAAAAAATTCAGGGGGTGCAGGATCAATGCTGGCTTTGTTTTTGAGTTAGTGGAGCAAAACTACAAACATGTAAGGTTCTGTTTTTAAAGAAACCGGTAATTTAATATTTTTTACTTATTAAATTTAAATTTTTCTATTTAAGGGTGGTTTTTTCGATTTAAAAAAAATTTAGTGGGTGAGGGAGCATTTCTGGCTTTGTTTCTGTCTTGCTGGAGTAAAAATACCTGGTTATAAAATTTTTTAATCAGTTATTTTATTGTTTTACATCCTGAATTTGATTCTGCAGATTAGGGGTACTTTTTTCAATTAAAAAAATTCAGGGGGTGCTGGATCAATGCTGGCTTTGTTATAGAGTTAGTGGAGCAAAGTTTCTTAGATGTAAAATTCGATTTTTTAAAAAAATAAGTTGATTTATTTTTTATCTCCGAAGTGTGAATTTATCCATTTAAGGGTGGTTTTGGTCGATTTAAAAAAAAACTGAGGGTGATGGAGCAATTCTGACCTCAGATTCGGTTTCAGCGGGTCAAAATACTATAGGAAATATATGTCGAGTTCAAGAAACAGACAACTTTTTTTTTGTGTGCCTGTGTAATCATTTCTTTCCTGACTAGTTATGTTAGATAAAAGATTGTACATAGAATTTTAATTAGAAATTTATGATAT